ATGGCATGGAGATTGAACAGATGGACCTCAAAAACTCTGGGCCGTCTAGAGAGATGGTAGACATAATGTTCAAAGCCAGACACCCGACTACTAGATGGATCTATAATTACTTCTGGTTGGTTTTCAAAAAGTGGACACAGGCAACAAGTTGATCCTTCATTCAACGATATTATTGCCTTTCTTCATATAACACCTTGAAAACACAGGTGGCTGACATTGTAGTCATCTTGGCAAATAGAGGACTGGCTGGGGTGGCATCTAACAGGTACATTAAAAAGTACCTGAAGGGCACTACACATTTAGCACCTCTCTATCTGGAACCTATCAAAGGCACTTCAGACCCTAATCAAACCTCCCTTCAAGCCCTTAAATTCAGTGGAATTATGATATTGATTTTGGAAAGTAGCCTTTCTAGTGGCAATCACATCCGCTAGAAGAGTTTCAGAACTGAGTGCCCTTTCAGTGAGAAAGGAACTATGTGTATTTCACAAGGACTCAGTGGTTTTAAGAAGACCCAGTTTTTCCCCAAAGGTAAATTCATTCTACCCCTTAAACCAACAACTAACATTATCATCTTTTTGTCCGAGGCCTTCCCATCCAAAGGAAAAGAGGTGACACAAGTTAGATGTCCAAAGGGCTCTCCATATCTACATCAAAAGAACAGACGCCCTCAGACTTTTGGACTCTCTTCCTTTCTCACGGGACCATAAATCTGGGCAGAAAGGTCACTAGGTTGACCATTGCCATGTGGATTAAACTATACATCTTCCTATGACACTCTAGGCATTAGGTTGCCCTCAGGAGTCACAGCGCATCCTACAAGAGCAGCGGTTATGTCAGCCACATTTGCCACTAAAGCTCCTATTGAGGAAATATGTTGAACAGCAACATTCAACTTTTGTTAAGCATTACAGAATTGATCAGCAGCAGTTCATAGAGGCTACCTTGGGGAGATGGGTACTCCAACAACTGTTGGACTAATTGGCTGATTTTTGATCCCACCCAGGGTGTATCCAGCTTGTTTACATAACCACTGTGGAGGACTTCCCCCACTGGAGGAGAACAAAACATTGTACTTACCTGAAAGTTTCTTCTCTCCCTTTTGAAAGTTTTTTCACACATACAGGTCCCACATACTGTTCTGTGTGTTTGTTAATTAAGTTGAAAACTGGTTTATGTTACCCCTGGGGTCAGAACATGATTTCTTAGGAGCTGGGCTATTCTGTGACTGGAAGGACACCCCCTATAGGTCCCAGAAGGCATACAAAAATGTGCATAGCCCTGCCTGGAGCAAGAGGAGGCATGACCTCTAATGGCTGTGGACGACTTCACCCCACTGGAGAAAAGAAACCTTCAGGTCAGTACAATGTTTCATGAAGGTGCAGAGAATTATATTCCACCATTTGACCCCCACCAGAACACCATTTAGTGTTTCCTTCTGAATAAACCACCACCACACACACCAAAAGTCAATTTTTTAAAAGCCTTGAGCTGTTGGAGGGAGATGAAGCTGGCTCTGAGCAAGGCTGGGTGGGAATATCCCTCGTCTTGTTCATTGTCTGGAGGGGCTCCGTCTGGAGCGGAATAGAAGGCAGGGTGTGGTAGAAAAAGCTTCCTCGGCCTTCTTGGTCCTTCTGGGTTTGCAGCGAGTTGTTGGAAGAAGCAGGAGGTGCTTCACTGAGCATCTGCCTCTGCTGCGCCTCTTTCCTGGGCTGAGCTCCCTGAACTTGCTCCAGCCTGAGCAAGCCTAAAAGATGGAAACAGGCTCTACTGGGCTGCTGCCTGGCAACTGCCAGGCAACGGAATACCAGCTGCCATCCAGAGGTGAGGGCGATGCAGCCGCTCAGCCCCACTCTCAGGCCAGCCCACCACATCCTTCCCTGAGACAACAAGCTCTTTGATGTGCAACGTAGTGTTTTAATCTGGAATTACACTTAGCCAGGTTGAGAAGGTATCTGACCATGGAAAAGGTCGTACACATGGTGTAAAGGCGGTCAAGTTGATTGTTGATCTTCTGAAATGCTATTCAGTTTATATAACATTATTTGCTCAGACAGACTCTCTTGCCTCAGTTTTTCCTCCTCTTTCTGTATCCAACCATATCTTGTAATTCCCTTTGTGTCTTTGCTCAGTCTAGAAAACGGGGGGGGGGGGGTGGCACGCGGGCCAGTAGTAAAAGCGGCCTACGGCGGC